ACTTCACCCTCATATGTTGATTTTGTTGCTCCCAGACTTGAGGACAGCTAAATTTCTTTAGCTATCTTTATTAGATGAAGTATTTGAATCCAAACTGTAAGGTGGAGGAAACAGAGAGAAATTAAAGATGCAATAAATGCCTCCAAAGGGCAAATGAATAGCCTCGAGAGACTCAAAGTACTGTGGTTTCTGTGTTCAGATGAGGAACTTCATGTCCAGTAGTTTGTAAACTGTGCAGATTTTTTATCTGCGATCCAAAGGGCAAATAGATAAATGATGACAGGCTCTGAAATTTGGAATAATGGAAATTACTGGTCTATAGAGCCTCTTTAAGGAGAAGATGATAACTTTCAGAGGATTTCTTGGGCACATTCTATTAATTAACAATATCATGGTGCTCCTGCACACACACTTCTTGTCCTAAGAGAATTTTATAAAAATCCTTGTTTGAGAGCACAAAACTGACTTCACCTCTGCGGCTGCTGAGCAGAGATAGCTGTTGCAACTTGTGGCAATCTTTTCAAGCATTCTTATTCTAAAGAAAAGCTTATTGTTCTTGATCATTGATTTGATGTTATTTGCAACCACCTTCTAAGGCTATGCAAAAGAAAGCACAGTACAAATTATTGTACAGTTGCACAGTACAATAAGTAGATGTGCAGTTCACCAAAGGATAATTTTAATCTAACAAATGGGATTGTTATTTTAAAACCTATATACCCACTTGCAATTGGATTTATTCTTGACAGCAAGAGTTTACATATCCTCAGTTCTACCTGAAGGACTTTCTTTATAGATTTCATGCAGAAAACAGAAGTGACAGTTATTATGTTACTTTTAATAGGAATAATCTCAAAATTCATGAGCTACTGTCTTCATAAATATTTATTATGAAGTTGCAATTTTAATGTGATTAGATGTTAAATAGCAATGTTTTAAAATACCCTACTTGACTAAGGAAAAATTCAGCTTTATGCAAACATCAAGTTTAAAAACTTGCATTTGTTGTTTCATTTTTAAAGAATGTAACTATAATATTACTCAAAATTTCTAGCATTTTATCTATCTTCTTCTGTTTCTCTAAGCACACAGAAATTAGGGTGAGATTTTGGGCTGTGAAGTACTGACCCAGTCTGCTTTGGAAGATGGTCATAATTTCATTAAAGTTCATTCTCCTTAAGTTCCTATATCAGGTCCACTTTCTAAGTTATAACTGTTGCTAATAAATAGTGTAAAACAATCTAGGCCTCATGTACAGCTCTTGGCCCTGTTAATGACCTCTACCATATTTATTGGATTTTTACTGTTACAGATCCCAAAAGCTCTGTTCAACTGGCAGTTTGGCTCTGGAAAAGTGACACACTAGGCCCCAAGCAGCTATTCCTCCAGATGCAGGACATAAAGTTCCTTATCAAGATCTGAAAAGTTAATAGGGAGCATGTAAATCACGAACAAGAGAAATATTCCAAACCAGAAGCGTATATTGTATACAAAAAAGGACAATCTCTTTTTTCAAAGTTAAATTTTATAATACTTGAATGAATCTCAGTTTGCTCAAAGCATCACCATTCCTTGCAATCATACCTTTGTAGACATGCATGGAAAAATGCTACACATATTCTACATTATTTATCTCTGAGTAAAAACACGGAGGAACAAGAGGAAAAAGCTGCTTGAGACTTTTCAGAGTCTTTCAAATAGTGTAAGAGGAGAGACAGGAAAAATAATAAATAAATACAGACATTTTGAGGCAAATGGCCATCTCAGGGATGTTTATAGAATAAGGATAATGCAGGCCCTCAAGTGTAATGGTGTGACAGATCCTAGCTGGAGAGAAAGCACACTCCGAACACTGAATACAGGGGAAGAACAGCTCCAAGGGAAAAAAGAGTATTTGTGGTTTGAGTTTAAAACCATAGCTCATTTACATTAAGAGATCAATCAGTGGCAAATCCATGCTGCAGTGTTAACTTCTCAGTGAAAAATCTAATTGAACACAGAGCAAGCAAGAGCTTGGGTGGTCTCTTTCCTCTTTTATCTGCACAACAAAGCTCAGAAGAGCTCCAAGATCCACCTCTCTGCAAACAAAGTGCCTTCAGAAAGTGCAGCCATCCAACTGAGCCTGAGGAACTTTGTCTGCTTGGCATCTTTAATTTCCCTGCTGCTGAGCAGAGCTCAACAGCTGCAGTTGACATCCACCCACCTAGCTGTTGGCTGCTGCACAGGTCTGGTCACCGGACCATGTGGGGCAGGAGCTGGGTGCCCATGCTGGAGCTGGAGCAGAGGTAGCTTCGTCCAACACACGATGTTGCCAGCTCCCAAAATAAACACACTTACATAACATGCAAAATCATCTCATCTTTCCCCTATGTTCTTTTGGCAGAAATGCTTACAGGAAATATCCTGTTAGTGAAGATAAAAGGGTTGATTTACTCTGTTCCTGGTAATTCATAATTGCTTAATCACAAGCACATAATAAAACTCCATTGGGATGGTTACAGCGACAATGGTTGCTGAGCAAAGATCAGTTCCCCTAGAGAGGCACTCTTTACATCATCTATACTTT